TTAATAATCGGACAGACGAAATCATCATCATCAACAGAGAAATGCTCTTTTGGAGTTATACGTTATTTACCAATCGAATGAATGAGTGACTGTCTGTCTATTTGGAGGCAGAGAATTCAATAATCAAGAGAAAAGTGTTCTAATTAGGCACCATGCATGATTAGTTGAGTATAGTGAATTTACCTGGGCAAAGTACAACGGAGGTTAGAAGGCTGCCATCGATAGTCCAAGAACTGATGGCAGGAATCATAAACTAGATTTCAAGGTTGTCTTGTTCATTTTGGGATTGACTTAGTGAATTACGTGTTTTGAGTTTTGACTCTTGTAGTTTACCATTCTTTATATACTCGTTAAATCTATCCTACATATACTTGTTAGCATATACTTGTTGCTTTGGAGTCGTAGGTGTTACCATTTCCCCACAATGGCTCAAAGCTACTCTTGAAAAATCTAGCTTTCTTTTGACTTGTGCTAGTGAATGATGTATATTTACTAAGCTATTTGAATATTTGAGGAACATAATCAGGAATGTAAATTCTTGTTGTTTTCATGATTGTAGATGGTTTCAAGTTCAAGGAATCTTAGAAATTTGAGAATCGTTACTGAATTTGACGCTCAAGTGGTTTTTCAGCATGGACATTCATGGTCTCAACATGAGGAGGGGTTTGCTAGCATAGGTACTGTATGGAATATCAATACTTGTTGTGCCTGCATGTTTAGTTTGTTTTTCTGTGCCTTTTGCTTTTCTTGTAATAGACAAATTAGGCAAATGTGTGTTCTATTTGGTAAGTGGAGCTTTTTACTCTTTTGATATGTGAAGAACGTCCTGTTCTACTGCTAATTTGTGGAGGGTTATAGGTGCTATAGAGATCACTTGTAATTATATATAACTAGTAAGGAAAGCCTGCGCTCCGCGACGGGCAGTTGTTTGTGATATTTGTCGCATTATATAACAGTAGGCCATAAAAGAAAAGGAATTTGTAAACTAATGAAACAAACAACCCTTGCTGCATAATAATGTTCTGCCTATCCTTTTTCATTGTTACATCAACTATAATTTATACTAAAGCTTACAACTTTGGAGCTTCATTTATCAATAATATAAAATGAATGGGCAAAGTTCTAATACATGCCATGAGACATCATAAAGTTGAAACCTTTTGTCATGTACAAATCTCAGTACAGTTCTATATGCATAAATACCCTTATTATTATTATCATAGTTATACATGGAATAGTACATGTCTGGAAAATGTCAAAGACTCCACGTGCAATGATATCATAAAAAAAATTCATAAAAAAAATTCCATTGCATCCCATAAAGTTGGTTTGGCATAAGTGTGCTATCCCTGGATGCTCGTATCCTCTTCCTAGCTTGTTCCCAAGCTGTAAAATGCAATATTTCAAAGAGAGAACCACTCAACAAATAAAACCACAAAACATTAAGGAAACATAAACAGGTGAATTGAAATCCTAGGAAAAGGCACGACTATAAGGACTACATTAAGAGCTTCATCTTGAAGAGCTATGAGATGCAGATTACATTAAAATTTGAAGAGGCATGCCATTAGTTCTTCTGTTGTCCATTATGCAACAGGGTTCACCTACAACGAATTAGAGGAGGCATGCAGCATGGAACTGGACTGAGACCTGGGAATGCCAAAACAATGACATAAAGAACAAGGAACTGCATGAGAGAATGAAAGAGTAATTACTGGTGTTCGCTGTGACCAAGTAGTCCAAGGGCGAGTAATGGGTTTTGGGTTATTTGTTGTTGATCGGAAGGACATTAGGTTTACAGTGAATTTGTGATCACTGGTGGTCGGCTCGAACTGGTCCGGAAGTAGGAGAAGTAGGAATGATCTGATGTTCGGGACAGTTGGAGTAGGAAATAATCAATTTGCGACTCCATTGGGCATTTGTGCCCTCGCTTCTGCTTCAAGAGCTGACCGCCTCTATCCAATCGTCCGCTATCCGGAGAATGGTAGAATAAAATCACTTCTTATTCGCCTTCTGACTCCTTCTTTCTCGTTTGTGGAGAGAGGAAGAGTGGGAGACAGAAATGAAGGGATAAGATAGGAGAGGAAAGAGAAAGTTTGTGTGGCTGGGAAGAGTTGAAGAAACAAAAGCAAACAAAAAATTTAAAAAGACTCTCAAAGTTTTATTTAGTAACAAAATGGTCACCTGGTAATCACCCCGACACTCTCGAGAACCAAAATGCATCAACATCGAATTCGACCCACTTTAATCAGATTGATTATTTTACAATCTAGCAGCGGGTTGGATAGAAAGCAGATCGACTATTTATCAAAATTCACACCTGAACCAACCATCAATTACAAAAACGGGCAAAACTCGCTCTTGACCTAAATTTCATGATCACCAACCAGGTTCAAGTCTTTCTAATTCGATTGAATTACCATGAACACCCATGAATTTGGGTTCAATTGCCAGAAACACTTAAATTTGAAATGACACTACTACTAATAATAATAACAACAATCATAAGAATAAAAAAAGAAAAAGAAAACTCTAACTTCAAAGAAATATTAAATGGCATCAAGACGGTAGCAAAGGCAAGTGAGGCGAGTTTTTAAAAAGACCTACCCAATCGGGCAATTACAAAAGCGTTTAAAACTCATTTTCGACCCGAAATTCGTCAACACCAGGTTGAACACCCATTATTTTATGCGATAAGTTTTCATTTAAAAAATGGATTAGAATATTTAATTTTTTACTAAAAGTTAAATACTTGAATAAGTTTATCAACCCAAAATTTGTCAACACCGGGTACTAATTGCTTTGAACGGGTCGAATCAGATCGAATCCGCATTGGCGTGGGTTCAAGGCCAAAACGACAAAAGATTCGTCAGCACTTGATTCAACTTTCCTTGACCGGTTAGATAAAGAGGGTTGTATTTTAACAAAAGCCACGCCCAACCCAATTTTTTTATCACAGAAGCGGATAAAATGCATTCTAGACCCAATCCAATGATTACAAAAGAGAATAAAATTCATCCTTGCCCCCAAAAGTGTCAACACCGGGTTCTACTTGCTTCGACTGAGTCGAATTAGATCGAATACACACCCACTTGGGTTCAATATGGGTTCAATTGCAAAGAGACAAAAAATCATGAAAACTGGATTCAACTTTTCTTACTGGTTTGATAAAGCGGGGGTGAGTTTATAACAAAATTCACACGCGACCCGATTCGTTTATTACAAAAGCGGGTAACTCGTCTCTAACCCAAAATTCGTTAACACTGGATTCAACTTTTTTCTTAAAAGTGTGCTAAAGCGGGGTGAGTTTCTAAGAAAATTCACACGCGACCCAATCCGTTGATTACAAAAGCGAGTAAAAATTCGTCCTCGACCCAAAATTTATCAACGTTGGATTCAACATGATAAAGTGGGACAGTTTTTTAACAAAATCCACACTTGACCATTTTGTTAATTGGAAAAGCGGATAAATTCGCACCCGACCCAAAATTTGGGTTTAGTCATAAGAGAAAATATCTAAAACATTTGATGAATTATCAAAAGTTTAACAATAAAACAATTCTAGTTGATATGGTTTTACCAAATAGTAGCTTTTGTGCTTGTTCTTTTAAACTGAAAAAATTAGGTAAAATATCCATTGATTTAAACGTGTAAGCAAAAAGCTCCTCAACGCCGGGTCGAACTCACTTTAACCGGTTGATATTATGTCAAATACTAAGCGTGTAAGCAAACACTCTATCAGTTGATTTAAGCTTGTAAGCAAAAACTATATCCATTGATTTAAGCATGTACGCAAAAACCTCCTCAACGTCGGGTCGAGCACGCTTTAACCGGGTCGACATTTGGTCAAATTACCATTGATTTAAGCGTGTAATAAAAAACTCATCAACATCGAAACGAACTTGCTTTAACAGGGTCGACATTAGCTCAATTACCCATTTGACGGGTTCAACTTGCTTTAACCGGGTCAAAGCAAGTTAAGCGTGTAAGCAAAACCTCGCTTTAACCGGGTCGACATTAGGTCAAATACCCATTGAATTAAAAGGGCAAAACTTATTGGTGAGACAAAATTTATCAACACCGGGTTCAACTTGCTTTAGTCGAGTCGAATTAGATCGAATACCCATTGATTTTGGTTCAATCTCTGCTCAAGTATCATTAGTTAATTAATTGGAACCTTAATAGAACCTTAAAATTGATTTAAGCGGGCAAAACTCATTGGTGAGCCAAAATTTGTCAACACTGAGTTCAACTTGCTTTAGCCGACTCAGATTAGCTAGAATACCCATTGATATCATTAGTTAATTAATTAGAAGCTTAATAGATACTTCAATGTAAAAAAACCTTCCAACTTTAATAGTTAATTAATTGAAGAATTGTAGAATAAAACAACTTCGCCTTCTGACTCCTTCCTCGTTTGTGGAGAGAGAAAGTTGATCCGCACAAATGGGGAAGAGGAAGAGTGGAATACAGAAATGAAGGGATAAAATAGGAGAGGAAAGAGAAAGTTTGTGTGGCTGAAAAGAATTGAAGAAACAAAGGCAAACAAAAAATTTAAAAAGACCCTCAAAGTTTTATTTAGTAACGAAATGGTCACATGGTAATCACCCTGATACTCTCGGCCGAAAATTTGACAACACCAAGTTTAGGTGTGTTCATTTAACTCTAAGAACCAAAACACATCAACATCGAATTCAACCCACTTTAATCAGATCAAATGTTTTACAATTTAGCAGCGGTTTGGATGGAAAGCAGATCGACTATTTAACAAAATTCACACCTAAACCAACCCATCAATTACAAAAGTGGCCAAAACTCGCTCTTGACCCAAATTTCGTGATCACCTAGCAGGTTCAAGTCTTTCTAATCCGGTCGAATTAACACGAACACACGTGAATTTGGGTTCAATTGTCAAGACACTTAAATTTTAAATGACACCACTAATAATAATAATAATACAACAATCATAAGAATAAAAAAGAAAAGAAATTAGCAGCTCTGTTTATATATATGTTTTTGGAAAATACATATACGGGTAATCGGTAATTTATATTTTTTTTCTTACCAAGGTAATATATATTTTTCTCGTGGTAAATAAAATATTTAATTTTATTATTGCACGCAACGTTGAGGGCGTACCTTTACAACTTTGCCTCCACCGAGGAGGATGCCGGATCGGAAATCCCTGTCCACAGTGGAGGCGGCCACTCTCACGATCCACGACGCATCATTAGACATCGCCGATGACCGGGGCCCGCTGTTTCCGACTAACAAACGGCCGCGATCCCATGCTTGACGGCGTGGAAGGCACCGATGGCTTGTGGGTCCTCGAGAAACTCCTTGAGATGGAGAGAGTCGACTGACATGGAGATGACGTGGACACCGTCGACGATCGCTTCATCAAATGCGTGGAGGAGGATACGGGAAGGGCAATCATCCTCGTCACAAACTTTGTACACCGCAATCTTCGCAGCCACCGACCCTCCCCTGGCGGTGCCCGCGGCAAGGCCGTCGTAGAAGGAAGCTTTCTCCACCGCCACCCCGGCCGCCGTCGAAGCCACGTGCCTCCCGTGCCCGTCATTGTCTCTCGGGCTGTCGCTGATGTAGTACCTCGCTCCAACGATTTTCCTTTAGTTATTATAAATAAAAATAATTAATTTATTAAGATACGGAAACTAGGAGCGAGTATAACAGAACAACAATTATTATAATAATTTCTTTGTGACACGGTGGCTTACGTCCCATGGCAGGCAGTTTCACCCCATCCTCCCCCATCCCACCGTTGCCAGCCCTAGCTTTCTCACCCCCACCCCGTCGTCGTCCCCTCTCCCATCCCTTTCACCCCACCCCACCCCCACCGCCTTCCCTCTCCCATTCCTCCCTCCCCTCCACCCCACCCCACCCCACCCCACCCTCTCTCTACCCGGCAGCGGGAGGAGCCGATGGACAAGTGATCTGTGTTCCGACACTCTCACCTCAATGGTATTGTCGCATTGGTATTGAGTTTGTTTCATTGGTATGTTTTTGTCCCATTGGTATTGATTATCATGTAATGGTATTAATTTGCATGTATTGGTATTGATTAAATATGCAATAGTATTGGTTTTTTGTGAAATGGTATAGATTTATATTGGTAGATTGTTTATGTTGGTAGTTTTTGTGTAATGGTACAGATTTATTTATGCAATGGTATTGATGTTTTTCACAGTGGTAGTGGTTGTTTAATAGATTGGTAGTGATTTCGTGTTTTTTTTCTTTTGCAGAAAGATTGAGAAAAATAAGGAAAGGAGATCTGGCTGAAAATTATGGAAGTGAGAGAATAGAGAGAATTGTAATTAATAGATTTTTGTAACTACGTAAAATGTAATTTATTAAAAAAATCAATTAATGCAATTCATTTTTCATACCCAATTTACCCTTAGTAACCATGGTGATTACCACTTTTGAAGTAATCACCGTAACCTGTCCCCTCATTTATCATACACCCCCTCATTTTCTATTAATATCACCAAACTCCTCTGGTTCTCTGGTTTTCGATATATGGATACATGATTTTTCTTATAAAACCTCTGACAAAATACAAAATTGATTTTCTACTGTCTTTCCAAAGAAAATTCGAGTCACTATGGTTCTCGCCAATTCACTGCGTTCGTTGGTTTACAATGTTTGAGGTACAACTATGCCGACAAAGTTACATCCTTTCTATCATGTAAGGAATCCATTTGTAACCTTAGATAATATAAGGGAATGAGATATCTTAAAAAAGACAGTGTATCAACTAGAACAATTGCATGTGTTTGCTTGATTTCATAATATTTTATATTACTTGTTATACATGAACATTTCCATAATAATATCAAGAAACAAACAAAGGTTCGGTTTTTGGTTTCTCTAACACGATTCCATTATTTTTGTTTTGCAAATACATTTCAAAACTCATATTTATTTAACTCCCCTATATTAGTTTTTATCTTATGCTCAGGAAAGTCGTCGTACAGGGTAATTCCCACCCAGCATAAACTTGATTAGATGTAGGTGTGGTGTCAAGTTATTTCCACGCATAACTTGATCGCGATATCATTAATCACAGTACAACCTATCCAATTTTCCGTATATTTTGTAAATAACAGGCGATATAGTGCAATCATTATTCAAAGCTAAAACAACCCAAAATAAATTGTAATAGAGTGATGAAATCCATAAACAGGACAATTAATCTAGACTCTAGAGCCTTGAAATTGCAAAAACACATCTTCACTTATGGACTAACTGAACCTTTATTAATCTTTTCATTGACTAGGTAAGCTATCTATATTCTCCCTATTGATCTATTAAACAACAAAGCAGGAAGAAAAGATATAACATACCAAATAATAACTTGTAACAACTAGAAAATTGATAATTGGAGTCTGCCAATTCATTTATTTAGTTGCAAGGAAATTAGTCTATCTCGTTAGTTTAATTTTGCATCTGCTTGTGGTGGATCAAAAAGATCGTAGCAAGGGGCATAGCATGCACAAGACTTGTCCTCACATTGCCCAGCAACTAGTAGTCCAATACCTCCAAACTTGTTTCTGCATGCGTTGTCACATACTGAGTCATAGCAATAACCATCTCGGATATGCAAAAGCTTTTGAGGAAAAGAAGCGAATCTGTCGCAATACTCTGTCCCCCGCCCTAATCTATGACGCTGGAATGCTACGATCGTGTTCCCTGATTTTCATTAACAAACATTAATCACTTAACAAATCAAAATACGTTGATTAATTGTCAACAGAAGGTACATTTATACTAAATACATCCAAATGAAAATCGCGATATGAAACCATACAAATATAGATAATTACCATGGAAGAGACAAATTAGCAGAAGAATGAAAATAATTGATGATGATGATCTTTTCGCCATGGTCGATATTTTTTTCTAGTAACTTTTTTATGGAAATAATGTCATATACTAACAACTAGAACACCCATTATTATACATGTTTATATAAGGGGTTTGAATAAAATACTTTCTAGATTTATTTAAATTCTCCATGATTATAGGCAAGAAACAAATTCTTTTTGATAAATTCTTATTGCAACCGTATGGTTATTGCAGTTCACAACTCTCGGTCATTTTTTGATTATTTGAGTGATGGCTTTTCAAACACTGTATTTTTTTTCCTTTTTAATTGCCTTTTCTCTAGTTTTCAGTTAATTCAGCCAATAAATTTCGAGCTTTAATGAATATATCTTTGTTTGGTAAAAGCTTATCCATATCTCCTCGAGAAGAATTTATATCCGTATACAAGTTGAATGAATTGAAGAACTCTAAACGTTGTCCTATTTTTATTATTATCGTCCTAATTAATTTAAAACATAATATTACTAAATTGTTCTTCATTAATCAAACCAAATTCAAATTAAACAAACAACCCCTAAAATCCCCAACTTCCTTCAACATCTTTGACCTCCTCTCCAAACATCCTTAGCCCATGGCCTTCTCGCCCTAAAATCCCCGACTTATAACCGGCCGCTTTGTGGAACAAATTAATTGCTTCGGATGACGAATGGGGACCGAACCTTGAAATGTGGGTTGGTCCAGGTTATCCAACCGTACACGACCTGCTGGTTCGTAGTATAACCATCCTTGGTCGAAATTTTAACCCTGTACGAACGCCTTTCTCCATTTCTGGTGAACACCAACCTTGTCGGAAATACCTTGACTTTAACACAAGGCACTTGATGAGCAGCATCTGATCCTCCCAATTCGACCACTGCCGAGTAGGTCCAGTTACCGTTGCCCGCAACATTGGTCAATACCCTCCGAACCGTCCTGATTTGGTTTGGGCGCCGCAACAGAACCGAAATCGACGGGAAGTTGAGATTGGAGATGAGGCTCGACCTGGAGTTAGGACGACACGAGAAGTTTGAGGACTGTGCGGTTTTGGAGATGAACCGTACGGTCTTGGTGTCGTAGCCATAGTAACACATGAAGCGCAGGTAGTGTGTAATCTCCGTCTCGTACACAAGCCCTGGGTTGAGGGATCCCCTTGGATTCACCTCTCCTGCTCCCAAATCATAAGGAGTGGCCTCCGCTCCTGTGTGTGTCGTAATCCGAGATCCCAGGTTGTTATTCGAAAAGGCTAAAACAACAACAAAAAGAACATCTTATTAGTGGTCTCGGTTGGTGGATGATAAACGTGCGATATAATAATAATAATAATAATAATAATAATAATGATGATGAAAAAAAAGGAATAACTTTTCGTTGATGAAATAATTAAGAAAAATGAAGATATATTTCGTTTTAATTACCTGTGGTCATTATGGCGGATTTAATGGCGGATGGGCTGAAAGCAGGGTTAGCGGCCTTGATGTTGGCCGCAACCCCTGAAACATGAGGACACGACATTGAAGTTCCGGACGCGATATTGAAGCTCGACTTAGGTCTTCCTTTTGGCTTGTTCGGTGACTCTTGGCCTAACGAAGAAGCGGCAAGGATGTCCACTCCAGGGGCAGTTACGTCGGGCTGCCAAGCCAAGCCAGTGATAATAACCAAATCCAAATGTGAATCAGTCAGTCGTTGTAATGGGAAGAAAAAAGGAAACAAATATCGAGGGAGTCATTTGGTTTTTTGCCTTGATAATGTCGGCCGCTTTGCTCGAAGGTCCCCTGGACGAGAAGAATGCAACTTCTGGTGCTGGTGTATAGTTTCCCATAACTACGGTCTGCAGGATGGTTGCCAAAGGTTTCCTATATATATATATGTTCAATAATGATTCGTTATTAATTAGGTGATGAATCAACTTTAAGTTTGGTCCAAAATACAAATGGGGAAATTAAATGAATAAACTTTTGTTGTTGTCTAACTCTAAGCTATTATATGTACAGTACGTGTACCTGTTAGTTTTGAGATATGCCATAAGTTGTGCAGCTTCCCTAGAGCCGACCTTCGTGATGGGTACGTCCCATAGGTACTGGGCCACCCTTTTGGATTCGTTGTTAGCGATTATTACACCTAACCCTCCTTTAACTGCCACCTCCACCACTTGGTTGATATACTTACCGTCGTTGCCCTCGTCTTTGATATCACAGATCACCAATTTTCCTCGAGTCTTTTTCTTGTCTAGGGAACCGGGTTTGCAACCTCTGTAAATAGAATAAACGGTTTGGTCACTTGGTTGGTTCGTAATTAGTGACATTAATATTTAATCAACAAGAATTAAACAAAGTAATTTCCGGAAAAAGTAAATGTATAGAAATTAAGAGAGACCACCTTGCCGCACGGAAGGACACATTGCCTGCCTTTGCTGATCGGCCGTCTATCAGCGGGTAGATCGGCGATCGACTCAGATCCGGTAGCCCTATCCATTCCCCCTGTTTGTAGAAAATAAGTAAATTAGCAGCTCGGTTTAAATAAACCTTTTTGCAAAATATTAGAACCTTTTTCTACAAGAAATATACATATACATCTCTTTTCCGGAAATTATGAATATATTTATTTATTATTGAATTACCTTTACAACTTTGCCTCCGCCCAGGAGGATGTCGGATCGGAAATCCCTGTCCACGGTGGAGGCAGCCACTGTCACGATCCACGGCGCATCATTAGACATCGTCGACGGCCGGGGCCCGCTGTTTCCGGCTGAACAAACGACCGTGATCCCATGCTCGACGGCATGGAAGGCACCGATGGCCTGTGGGTCCTCGAGAAACTCCTTGAGATGGCGAGAGCCGAGTGACATGGAGATGACGTGGACACAGTCGGCGATCGCGTCATCAAATGCGTGGAGGAGGATACGGGACCGGCAATCATCCTCGTCGCAAACTTTGTACACCGCAATTTTTGCGGGCGGCGACCCTCCCCTGGCGGTGCCCGCGGCAAGGCCGTCGTAGAAAGAAGCTTTCTCCACCGCCGCTCCGGCCGCCGTCGACGCCACGTGGCTCCCGTGCCCGTCATTGTCTCTTGGGCTGTCGCTGATGTAGTACCTCGCTCCAACGATTTTCCTTTTAACAATGCAAAACGAATTTTAGTTATTATAAATAAAAATAATTAATTTATTAAGATACGGAAACTAGGAGCGAGTATAACAGAACAACAATTATTATAATAATTTCTTTGTGACACGGTGGCTTACGTCCCATGGCAGGCAGTTTCGTTGAAGTCTGCTGCGGTGACGCAGGTGCCCTTCCAGCCACGTGGGACGCTGAGATTGGTTCCTTCGTGTCGAAAGCTTTGGGCCTCGGGCCATATCCCGCTGTCGAAGATGCCTATTACAACGTTGCTGCTGTCGGGGCGTGAAGAGGCCGGGAGAGGAGGAACGGCGTTGGATCCACTGAGGTCTTGGAGGAAGTCCCAGGATCTGGTGGTGTGAAGCTGCAGGTTGGAATCCGGGAAGACCGACACCACTCCTGGTTGGGCTGCTATGGACTCCACCTCCTTGGCTGAGAGACGGGCCGCGAACCCCGATAGCCCGTGACTGTACGTGTTCAAGATGTCCATCTCCTGCCTCCCCCCGCTGTAAGAGAGCCCAAAATCATCATAAATAATGAATAAATAAAAGTATGAATGAATATTGTCCGATTTAACAAATAAACAAACAAAATCACCTCTCAAGTAGGGAGCCGAGAACCGCTTCTTTCATGGCCAAGTTTGTTGGGTTCGCGGCCCCCATATACACTATGTAAACATCATCATCGGAGGAAGAGCCTGAACCGCCGCGGCCAAATTGGCTTCCGGTGGAGTCCGCCGGAGGTGGTCGTGCTAGCAGCAACGACAACAAGAGGATTGTGGAAGTAATGATTACCCTCAACATTTTGGTGTGTGACATTTGGAGCCAAGTATTAATTCAGAGGAGCAATATTATATTGATGCGGTAGTGAAGTGAAATATACCTATGCACGTAGCCTATTTATAATAAGAGCGACTGAGCGAGGGATGAAGTTATGGACAGATAACAGATCAGAATGTAATCGGAACTAACGTAACCCTGCTTTATTTTTCCCTAGGGTGCGAAACGCATGATGTATATAAGCAGAAAATTGGAGTTGAGGCTTTTTACTAGCTCCAGATTTCATGCCGTGTATATATACAAGGAAGATGCGTGCGGATCTCACCGGCTCGCCCACATGGGGTCTGTGTTTGTTGGAAACTGCATGCAGAGCATACGTACTTGCATGATGTATGCTTCTCACGGGGGAATTTGCCTTGCCTGATGAACTATACCTACCTACGTACTTGCATAGGTAGCTCATTCCTCAACAAACACAACAACTATAAACCTGACGTATGTTACATGTAGTAGTTGTTGTGTTGGGTACTTTCTTCAAATCACGTACGACGACGTTTCAACTGCGAGTTTCCACTTGCCGGATTTCTTTCCATATCACGGTGTCGTTTCTCCTTCAAGCTTCACTTCCTCAAAACGACGCTGCGGAAAAGATATGTATAGACTGAACAAATGAGACTTGTGCCGGCACAAAGATTTTTTCAATTATGAAATGAAATGATATGTGCCTATAGCAGATCATAAAAGAGCTCAGGATTAGGAGTTTCAGACCAGTTTTATTTTATATATATTTGATTATTAATTAAGGATGTCATTAATATAGTATGAAAGAATACCAAATTATATCGTACCAAAATATTATGAAATTGGTATTGTGATTTTGAATTTATTTTGTAATTGACATTGAGATTATATATGGGATGAAGAGGGAAGGCTAGAAACTAGCTTAGAGTTAGAATGATATAATTTGTGCGATGATATTAAGGGATGAAGAGGGAAAGCACTAGCATCCTTAAGAAAATTCAGGGAAGTTCATGTTGATGATATTGTGCGGAAAATTTGTGCGATGAACGACATTACTAATGGTTGTAAGACAAAATTTTGAACTAATCTTTGGATTTTTCAAGTTCCCCTTATTGACATGGCTATTGCGGAGATCCGTGTTGAGGTCAAAGAGATGAGGGACAATAATTTGTCTCATGGCACGTGATAGAGTTTGCTCATGTACTCCCACCAACAGTTGTCATCGCGATTCGATCAATCTTGGCCGATCCCATGTCTACTGAAGACGACACATTGACATTGTCCTGGATATCTTCGATCGGCTAATGGAGCCTTCAACACAAAGTTGGCCTATAAGTCATTGGATAACTCAGAACTACCTAGCTCTCCTACCGTCTGGAAATCAATGTGGAAGCTTCACATCTCGGAGCGTGTTCAGACTTTCATCTAGATTGCAGCGAAGGGATGTCTGGCAACCAACAAAATCCACAAATTCAGAAATCTCACTCAATATGGTAAGTGTGCCCTATGCCGTGAGATGGAGGATACTCACTTACAATGTTTGCGCGATTACAGGTTCTAGGCTTCTAGCTAAAACAGTTTGGAACAAGTTGATTCCCAGTCATCACAGATCGACCTCGTATGTGGGATGGTTGCGGCAGAAATCCAAGATGACTCATGCGGCAACTGGACGGGTGATTGGGGAAGCTTCTTCTGCCTGATGTATGGTAGTTAACCACTTCCTTACACGCCCCCTCAAACGAAAGCCGCCGCATGGGCTTGAAGTTTGCACAGGCTCGTCATACCATGTGCTTGAAAGACAACAGTTAATATTGGGGGTCATGAGGACTTGAATACGTGACCTCAAGAACAAACCAGCTCTGATACCATGTCATAAACCAGCTGGTCCCAATAACTCGAGTTGTTGGAAGAAAGTTATGTCTGATACCATGTGCTTTAATAAACAGTTAATATTGGGGGTCGTGGAGATTCGAACACACGACCACTTGGCCAAACCAGTTCTGATACCATGTCATGAACAAGTTGCTCTTAGTAACGCGGCTATAGCGACCAACTCTGCTACCAAAATATTTTGGTTGTGAAAAAGTTTTAATAACCAATTTTTGACTTTTAGAGACGAATTACTTTGGTTGCAAAAACCCTTTTTTCTTTTAGTGAATTATCTATTCGGTCCATGCTTTCTTCAGTAATTATAAAATTTATAGGATCAAGGACCGGACCGTATTATACTAGTTACGGTCCGGTCAAAATACCGGTTTGGTCCACTACGGTCCGGTACAGGAACGGACCCTTGCACACTACTAACTATCACAAAAAATGTTATAACAAATTAAAGCGTTCAAACTATCTCCCAAAAGAAGTCATAATTATTTTACTAAGATGTTACGTTGATTGGGAAACCGTGATGGAAACAAGATCAATAAATTTGTTGCAGATGTCTTCTAATGTAGAAGAAGACGGAGGGAGAGAAGAAGAAGTCTACCAAGAAAAAAAATATTTCGAAGTCTCCACTTTCAAAAATTAATAAAAGTGTAGTTGAAATTTTTTAATTTAATTCAATCCTAAAGGTATTGCAAATATGATTTGGGAATTCAATTCATGACTAAAGATTTGAATATGACATACTAAACATATGAATTTATTTTAACTTTAATAAAATTATTATCCCCTTTGAAAATCTACCAATTTGATCAAATGCGTGGACTTTGATCCCAACTACTTGAGTACGTTGTTTAGTGAAATTATATATTGTAGATCGGAATATATGATTTTCAATTATTATGATGTTTTCCTTATATATTATCTCATTATAACTTTACTATTGTTCTAGACAATGCATTATCAACTGATGATTAATTATATTCACAAATGATCTGTATATAACGTCTAAATATCTTAAATGAGTTTACTGTGTAAGCGTTCTCATTTCTTCTGACGAGTTAAAAGAACATTATTTCCAATGACTTTTTTTCATCTTGTCAGTAATAATAGTATTTATGACTGATTATCAACGACATAACTAGGTTTTCATCAGTAGAAACTGACTATTTCTGATGATTTTTTGGATTTGTCAGAAATAGTTTTTTTCTGAAAACATTTTCATTTTTTCATGACGAGGTAGTATATTATTTTTGATGACTTTTTTAGCCATGTCATTAATAATATTTTTTTGACAGATTATTAATGACAGACGTCAGTACAAAATGACTATTTTTTAATATTGTTTTGTCTGCCTCAGATTTTTTTTTTACAAATCAATTTCGATGGCTGCGAGAGCTCGTCAAAACAATAGTTTATTTATGATGGGAGGCGTTTTAAGTGTAAGAAATAGTAATTTGTTCTAACGACAAAAATAATTTCCGTCTGTAATATTGACCAATTCCAATGACCCCAAATATTTTGTCAATAATATATGCGCTATTCCTGGCGAAAAAGTAACAGCGTCAGAAATAGTTAATTCCTGGAGAGGAGAAGTCTTAAGACAGAAATACTTTAGGGTTCCAAGGCCTAAGGCCTATTTTTCATCTCCCGACCTAGCGAGTGAAGAACGAGAACTAAGAAGAGTGAGTGAATAACGAAACGAAGCGAGTGAAGCGACTTCAGAAGGAGTAGGTAGCTTGGGAGATAGAATTCCCAGGTGTAAAGAGTGTGAAAAGGAGTGTGAATCTGCCGAACAACAGTTCAGGAGACGCAAGACGCCCGACATAGAACTATCTATAAAAAGAAATATACGCTATTTATTACAAAAGGGGCCCAAGCGGAAACGTGCCGTTCCTCTCCTTTCAGTCGAGGTTAGAATATACTCGAACGAGGAAGTGCCCGATCCCTATCTACTATCTAAGACTTCAACACGTGATTCTCATTACTGACGAGAACATTTTTTTGTTTGTTAGTGCTAATGTTAGCATTACTGACGAGAACATTTTTTCATCGGAAAAAGACTTTCTCTGATGCATTTTTATAGTCATTAGTAAGTTTTCGTCACAACTGTCTGCCTTTATCGATCAATTAGTACTCATGAACTATTTATGGCGTCAAAATTATTTTTTTGTTTTGACAACAGGGTCTTTGTCGTCAATAATTTACATTATTTTCTGACGGTAATTTTAATGACGACAATAATATTGAGTATTTCTTACGCGGAAAATAAAATAGCCAAAGATAATGAATGTGGGAAATTGAAAGCGTGCCAAAATAAATATTCATGACGACAAAATTCACAATTATTGACGAAAATTCAACTTTGTTAGTAAAGATGCATATAGTACTAACGAAAACTGTTGTTCGTCGGAATTATGCACCTTTTTCGACGCAATTTTTGAGTCGTCAATAAGCTTTCGTCACAACTGTATGCCTTTTTTGTAGTGCTCGGAAAGTGTTGCCAAGTTAAAGAGACCAAAAAGGCATAGAAAATTACTTAAGGATTTGCATGCAGCTAGACCACCCTTCTCTCACATTAAACTAAAGAACAATCAGGTACATATTTATATACAAGGGACTTAGCTTTCCAAGGCAGGTAGTTCAATCATTTGTGCTAAGATCTGTTAAGGAAATAGTTCAGGTATACTATTTTCTTGCAAAACAAGTTACATGTAAGATCACGAGGTTGTGTCTTCCCACATCTTACCAATTTAACCGATTGATCGCATATTACATTAAATTGATCAGATTCGAGGTTAGTGGCTTCCCACATCTTACCAGCAAGGTACTTCGAGAGATTCTCTTGGATCTTTCCCCTTTCATTTCCATTCACACAATTAAAAAATCCCAACAAGACCCTCTTCGATCGAGATTCCTTCATTCTCCCACCTTGTTTTTTTTTTGAAAAGAAGTTTATTGAGATTACGATTGGGCTCAGCCCAAAAAAGAAATGTACAAGCTACAATGTAATAGGATTAAAAGAAAGACTCAAACAACAAGGCCCAAAGACAAACCCAGAACCCAATAGGGCCCGAGCCCAGGACCAAAACAAGAAGGACCCTTCCCAAACCCTAACACACGAGCCCCCTCTGTTTCCTCCAACCGCCGCGGTCGGAGACCATCTCCAAAACCAAACCAGCACCACCCTCAAAAAGGGAGCCCCACCGCGAGCCAAGCAGAGAACCGCACCCACCAAACTCGATCGGCGAGAGAAGAAGGAAAAGCCTCCGACCAACCCACCACGAGCCGAACACCACACTACATTCCGCCGCCAAATCTCAAGGGAACCAGCAGAGCGACCGGACGGTCGCGAAAGAGACAGAGGGTGGATACATCTATCCTCAAGCTCTTCCCACCGGATCCACCTCAAGGGCTGCATCTCCGAATTGCCAAGATCTTCAAGGCAAAACAAGGAAGTAGACCAAAGGAGAGAAGAAGAGAACACAAGCCAGATCTGAAAGATCCAACTTCATCCTATCTTGAACCGGGCAAACATCTCAAGATCTGAGAACCAAATCGGAGGACAAAAGCTACATCACATAAACGAGGCAAAGGAGCCCTTCACAAGAGGAAGAAAAACCACAGAGGAAGAAAAGAGACCAAGAAAATTACCGGAAAAAAGAGACCAAGAAATGGTCAGAGAAAGCAGCAATGGGAAATGGAAAAAACAAGAAAGAAAACAAATCGAACCGAAAGGAAAGAGTAAAGGAGGCGGAAGATGAGGATTATGGGTGCCTACTAGAGAGAGGTCAGAGGAAAAGAAGGTTTAGAGAGAGAGAGAGGAAAAGCGAATTATGCATACCTTCATTCTCCCACCCCTGGTCACTTTTTCCACCTGTTTGGTATTTCTTTGGTCTGGATTTCGTTGTTGGTTTGGCATTTTCTTGCTCAAGGCTTTGATGGTCGCTGCCAATGTTTCTCACGGTGTCCGGCAAAGAAGTTGTCGACTTATGATTCCATGGAATCAATTTTTCATTTTTCGCTTTCTTCATCCAATAATGAATTTCTGAATTTTTATTCACAACTTCATTTTTACTTTTCTACCTTTTCATCTTTAATGTAAACGAGAACTTCTTTAGATGCAGCTGTATGCTTTGGACTGTAGTTCTGCTAAATATAATCAATATATGATTAATGCGAATACTAGAGATGGTAAGTTGAAACCCCAAACCCTATTTTCCTATATCATTTTTACTCTAAAATCTCACCTCATATTTCATCTTTTTACTTGTCATTGATATTAACAGTATCGATAATAATACAGTATTGTATTACGCACCTCTGGATCATATTGGTTGAACAATAGATCAAGAAACAATGGAAAAATTGCTTAACATTTACTTGATTATAGAATAACAAATAAAAAACATAAAGAAGGATGAATTCACTACAAAAAAAAAAAAGACTTATGTCAAGGGTTCCATAGCAAGGGTTTGTAACCCTCATTAACTCTTAAATGAAATTTCACTCGACACAAGAAAATCTCTATTTCCTTTTACATTTTTCGGTAGCAAATCTTCTTTTCAAGGGTTCTTGAACCCCTTGCTAAGACTTAAATCAAATTCAGCCCCTATTCCGAATCTCGAAACAAGAAAAACCCCTGTTTTCCTTTCTATTTGTTGGCTCCCTCCCTCCGATTGAAAGGTGAATTCTTCCTTGTCTCCCTCTCTCGATCACTCTCTCTACCTGGTTCGCTCTCTGTTGTCCTCACTTGCGCGTAACAGAGTGAAATCAAATTTCAACAGTCATCTGCTTCTCCATCGTCATTTTGTCCTCGTCACAGAAGAAATGACGTTGCATTGTCATTTTGCCATCACTGATGAAGATCCAGTTGCTCCGCTGCCATTTTATGCTTGTCCACTGAAGACGGAGACGATGCGGTGTTGTTTCCCTCTTTCTTCTTTAAGCTATACTTTCTTTTACTCCAAGTCAGACTTGGTTCCCTTTCCAAGCTACCAAACAATGTCCATGGAAGCTTGTCTGTTTGTATGTTGCTAAGCCTATAAGAGGCGGATTTGATGAATGAGAAAAGCAGGAACTAGGTTTTCAGTCTCTCCATCTTGTTCCTTTGTTATGGTATCAAAGCCTGGGATAAAACCCTAGCCGCCACCCCTCTTTTCCAATGGCTGATAATCAGGCTGCACAACAGTCACAACCAGACCTTCAACCACAAGATCCACCAAATGTTGTTGATCCTGCTTCTGACCCCTTCTTCCTCCATGGTTCTGAGCAACCTGGATCCCTTCTTGTTGCTGAAAAACTCACAGCAACCAACTACAATGATTGGAGCAGAGCTATGCTCAATGCCCTTGCAGCCAAAAACAAGCTGGGCTTCATCAATGCTTCCATACCTGAACCACCAGTAGGGGTGTGCAATGGTCCGGTCCGTACCGGACCACACTGGACCAAACCATTGTTAAGACCGGACCGGACCGGACCAGACCGAGTAAAATGCGGTCCGGTCCTTGGTCCTAATGAATTTTATAATTACTGAAGAAATGATGGACCGAGCTCATATTTGGACCGGACCGAACTGGACCAAATGGACCAAATGCAAGAATGGTCCGGTTCTTGGTCCTAACATGTCTTTCACTAATGGACCGCGGTTCTCATGAGTTTGGTCCGGTCCGGACCGAACCGAACCGTTGCACACCCCTAACCACCAGTCAAAGATCCAAGGCATGGAGCTTGGACACGCAACAACGTTATGATTCTTAGTTGGATCTAGCAAGCCACTTCTTCAGAGATCCGCAAGACCATCCTCTCCAGCAAAACAACAACAGAAGCTTGGAAAAGCCGTCAAACACGTTATGGATCTGGTGATCTTATTCGCATTGCAGAGCTTGAAGAAGCACTCTCTTCCCTGCAGCAAGGTAACCAGACTGTAACTCAGTACTATGGTAGAATGATTACTCTCAAAGATGAGTTAGAGAATTATCAACCTCTACTGCCATGCTCTTGTACTCCAACCAGTCACAATACCTGTGTTGCCATGCTAACGGTTCATCAGTACCAAGAAACAAGTTATGTTATTAAATTCCTCAGAGGCCTCAATGAAAATTTCTCTGGAGTTAGAGCCCAAGTGCTATTTGGAGATGAACTACCAAACATCAACAGGGTCTTCCGAAGGATGCTTCAACACGAAAGACAACTCTATGGCACTCAATCTGGAAAGTTAATAGCATCTATGCAAACAGATTCATCAGCAATGGCATTTCAAGGAGGCAACAGGAGGCCAAACCAAAATTGCAAACCTCCTTACTGCACATTCTGCAGAAGGGAAGGCCATACTGAAGACATATATTTTCAGAAACATGGATGGCCTCCTGGTATGACCAAACCTTCCTCTTCCACACCTGGCACAATCACCACTTGTTCTTACTGCAAAAGAAGGGGAAACACTGAAGACAAGTGTTTTCAAAAAAATGGCTACCGTGCCAATTTTGTGCTTAGGAACCCCAATTCAGTTGCTGGTAGAGGAAGACCTACTGTGAATTCTGTTGTCACCAATGCTCCACCAGACGAGGTCAAACTCACAAGGGCTTATTATGAGAAGCTTATGCGCCTAATGAATGCTCAACAACCTACCACTTCTTTCCCTGCTGCTGCTTTTGTCACAAACAAAGGTATTCTTCCAACTCCTATCTTTAATGTCTTCTCATCTACACAGACAATGTGGATAGTCGACACTGGAGCATCAGACCACATTGTCTGCTCTCTCTCTCTTACTTACAAGACCCTCAACCATTGACAAACATCTATATAACTCTACCCACTGGAACCAAATTCCAAGCCACACATTCTGGCACAGCTGTTTGCACTGATGCAATCATCCTCCAAAATGCACTGTTTGTTCCCAATTTTTCCTTCAACCTTCTTTCTGTGAGCAGGCTCACTTCCATCCAACCTCAGCTTATCTTTTCAATCTACCATGTGTCTTATACAGGATCTGGAGCAGAAGAGAGTGATTGTTTCTGCTAGCCTTCACAATGGCCTCTATTACCTCCAAGCTTCATACACCCCTAAGTTGATCTCTGCATCTTCCAGAACTCCTTTTGACATATGGCATTTTAGATTAGGACATGTCTTCCACTCTAAAATCCCTATTCTCAACCAATTTTGTACCTCCGTAACCACACAGAGAGATCAACCTTGTGATGTATGTCATTTTGCAAAACAAAAACGACTTTCATTTCCTGAAAGCCAGTCTGTAACTCAGTACCCTCTTGAACTACTTCATGTAGACATTTGGGGTCCTAACTCTATCCCTTCTTATGATGGCTACAAGTACTTTTTAACAATTATGGATGACTTCTCCAGAATGACTTGGATCATTCTTCTCGATCTCAAATCAGAAGCCAGACCAAAACTGATAGCCTTCTGCACTCAGATGCAAAGAAAATTCCAAAAACAAATCAAAACCATCAGGTCTGACCAAGACCAAGAATTCCAAATGTCTGATTTCTTCACCTCAACAGGCATTACTCATGAAATGTCCTTTGTAGAAACCCCACAACAGAATAGCAAAGTTGAGAGAAAACATCAACATATTCTTGCTGTTGCTCGAGCTCTCCAATTCCAAGCTCATCTGCCACCAGCTTTCTGGGCAGATTGTGTAAAACATGTTGTCCATCTTATCAATAGAGTTCCCACAACAGTTTTTCTCAACCAGACACCCTATCATCTTTTCTACAACCAGCCACCTGACCTCACAGAGTTAAGAATCTTTGGATGTCTTTGCTATGCCTCCACTCTAGCCAATCACAAAACAAAGTTCCAGCCTAGAGCTAGAAAAACAATATTCTTAGGTATACTCCTGGCATCAAAGGATACAGGCTATATGATTTAACCTCTCATGAAGTATTTACTTCACGAGATGTTATATTCTATGAGTCACATTTTCCCTTTCAAGAAATGGGCTCTAATGAATCCCTAAGCTCTCCATCAGATCTTCTATTTCCTCTCCCATCCCCAGACTCAACTCTTGTTTATGAAACCAATCCAGTCCCTACCAACACTACTCCCTCTCCACCTACAATACATCCTCCTTTTGACCAAAACATCAATCCTTCTCCACCTACCTCTCCCCACCACTCTACACCTTCCTCACCAACCAATTCATCTCCACCACCTTCCCCTCCAAACCCACCTCCTCAACCAAACCTCAGACGTTCAGACAGAACAATCAAACCTCCCTCTCATCTCATCCAAAATTACCATTGTTATCTTGCACAAGGTCCTAGTAGCTCCAATCACCTCAACCTGCAACAGATCCAAGACCACATGTACTCTCTATCTTCCATGATTTCTTACAACAATTTGACTGATCCATTCAAAAGGTTTCTATTAAACATTTCCAGTCATCAAGAACCACAATCATACAAAGAGGCTTCTAAGCTTGATGTCTGGAATCAAGCTATGCAGCATGAAATTCAAGCTTTAATAAAAAATCACACTTGGGGTGTTGTTTCTCTACCACCTAACAAGAAACCAGTTGGAAACAAATGGATCTACAAAGACAAGTTTTTATCTGATGGTTCTCTGGAACGTCGTAAAGCTAGGTTGGTTGCAAAAGGAAATACACAGCAGGAAGGAATTGATTTTCAGGATACATTTGCTCCTGTAATCAAGATGACTACTGTCAGAACTTTTCTAGCCATTGCTGCCCTTAGAAATTGGCACATTCACCAGTTGGATGTAGATAATGCATTTCTAAATAGTGACTTAGAAGAAGAAGTCTACATGACATTGCCTAAAGGATTCTCACCTCCTCCTGGCATTCCCAATCTAGTTTGCAGGCTAAGAAAGTCTCTCTATGGCCTAAAACAGGCATCAAGACAATGGTTCTCCTAGCTCACTGACAAACTCATACAGTTTGGCTATGTGCAAAGCAAAGCAGATCACTCACTCTTCTTCAAAGTCACAGACACTACTTACACTTGCAATCTCATCTATGTTGATGACCTGGTT